TCTAATTTACTCAACACTGTTTTAGAAGTCCTAGCTATAGCAATAAGACAGGAAAAACTAACAAGAAGTATAAGGATTGTACAAGAAAAAAACAGTACTGTATTGGACAATATTATTTTCTATATAGAGAATGCAATGAAATCTATAATATGGGAGAGACATTTATTTCATGTTTCTTCATGGTGGTAACTGCATTAGAATAACACCACTGTCCTCTCTTTTCTCTCTCATTCACCCCAAAAGAGTAATTTATCAGGTTTGGAGAAGGAACTCGATCTGCATAACTCAGTACCTTCCTCTCCACTGTCTTGGGGAACAAGCCTGCCCATAGGAAGCACTCATTCTCTGCTCCCCCATTCCAGGATTTTTACAAGGGCAGGGCCCATAGAAGATGCCTGTAGTTTTCCAGCTCTGTCTGTGACAGGACACATTTAATTCTGGAATGGAGTATTAAAGAGCCTGTTGTAGTATATATCTAATCTATATTTTCCAAAGAAACTTATTGGTAATAAAGGGGATCATTTTTATTCTGACTTCCTACATCTGCTTCTCAGTTTGTTCTAAACTTAGAAGAGAAGCAAAAGTCATATATAGTAATTATCTCAAAACCCCAAACTATAAGAATTAGTAAGAGATATCATAGAGGTGGCTGGATATAACCAATATATAAAAAAATCAATTTTATTCCTATACACACCAGAAGAACCAACTAGAAAATGTAATTTTAAGAAAATTCTAGGGGTGCCTGGGTGGCTCAGTCAGTTAAGTGCCTCTTGATTTTGGCTCAGGTCATGATCTTGTGGTTCATGAGGTCAAGCCCCGAGTCTGGCTCTGCGCTGACAGTGTGGAGCCTACTTGGGATTCTCACTCTCCCCGAGCTCCTCTCCTACTCACAAGTACGAGTGCACACACATGATCTCTTTCCCTCCCTCCCTCTCTCAAAATAAATAAATACTTAAAAAAAAGAAAATTCTGTTTATAATTTTGGGTAGTATTGACATTTTAACAATATTTGTTCTTCCTATCCAGGAGCATGGAATCTTTTTCCTTTGTGTGTGTGTGTGTGTGCGTGTGTGTGTCTTCTTCAATTTCTTTCATAAGCTTTCTATAGTTTTCAGTGTACAGATTTTTCTAACCTCTTTGGTTAGATTATTCCTAGGTATTTTATGGTTTTTGGTGCAACTGTAAATGGGATCGATTCCTTGATTTCTCTTTCTGTCGCTTCATTGTTGGTGTATAGGAATGCAATCAATTTCTGTGCGTTGATTTTATATCCTGCAACTTTGCTGAATTCATGAATCAATTCTAGCAGTTTTTGGTGGGATCTTTTGGGTTTTCCATATAGAGCATCATGTCATCTGCAAAGACTGAAAATTTGACCTCCTCCTGACCGATTTGGATGCCTCTTATTTCTTTGTGTTGTCTGATTGCAGAGGCTGACTTCCAATACTATGCTGAGTAACAGTGGTGAGAATGGACATCGCTGTCTTGTTCCTGACCCTAGGGGGAAAGCTCAGTTTTTCCCCATTGAGGATGATATTAGTGTTGGGTCATTCATACATGGCTTTTATGATCTCAAAGTATGCTCCTTCTATCCCTACTTTCTTGAGGGTTTTTCTCAAGAGAGGATGCTGTATTTTGCCAAATGCTTTCTCTGCATCTATTGAGAGGATCATATGGTTCTTGTCCTTTCTTTTATTGATGTGATGAATCACATTAATTGTTTTGCGGATATTGAACCAGCCCTGCATCCCAGGTATAAACCCCGCTTGGTCGTGGTGAATAATTTTTTTAATGTATTGTTGGATCTGGTTGGCTAATATCTTGTTGAGGATTTGTGCATCCATGTTCATCAGGGAAATTGTCCTATAGTTCTCCTTTTTAGTGGGGTCTCTGGTTTTGGAATCAAGGTAATGCTGGCTCATAGAAAGAGTTTGGAAGTTTTCCTTCCATTTCTATTTTTTGGAACAGTTTCAAGAGGATAGGTGTTAATTCTTCCTTAAATGTTTGGTAGAATTCGTCTGGAAAGCCATCTGGCCCTAGACTCTTGTTTTTTTGGCATATTTTTGATTACTACTTCAATTTCCTCAATGGTTATGGGTCTGGTTATAATTTTGAAAGTCCTGCAAGGTACCTATAAACAGTGCGGACCAAAGACGTGCACAGTCTTTGCCAATAAAATTATAAAATTTTAATAATGGAAATTTTAAAATAGCCTAAATAAGTGAAGAGATAGACCATGCTCACAGGTAAGAAGATTTAATAATGTAAAGAGAGCAAGTCTTTCTTTTTTTTTTTTTTTTTTAATGTTTATTTATTTTTGACAGGGAGAGAGACAGAGCATGAGCGGGGGAGGGGCAGAGAGAGAGGGAGGGAGACACAGAATCCGAAACAGGTTCCAGGCTCTGAGCTGTCAGCACAGAGCCCAGAGAGCAAGTCTTTCTAAGTGGGGAGGCATCTCTTCTCTATTCTGGATGCCACAAACACTCTCTACCTTTTCCCCAATTAAAAGGTAAATAAAGGGAGAGAGACTTTATCTTGGTTAATGAAGTAATGCCCAAAAATCTTTTTAAGCAATAATAGCTACTTTTATGGGGTGCTTACTCAATAAAGGAATTATCACAATAAGGTTTTGAACTAGGTCCTATTATTATTATTATTCCCATTCTACAGATAAGAACACTGAAGCCCAGAGAGGTCCATCAAGTTGCCCGAGGGCACACAGCCGGTCAGTGGTGGAGCCTGGGGTAGCATGCAGGCAGTCTGGCTCCAAGCCTGGATCCTGAACCGCTGATCTCAGCCGCTGTCAAGATAGTCCTGTCGTGCTGTTGCTCTCACTCGCTGAGGAGCTGTTGTGAGCAGAGGGGAGAAGGGGCAGCGAGATCACTGTGAACTGCAGAGCTCCAGACCCTTTGTCTCTGGGCCTCAGGGGTGCATGTCCTGGGTAAGCACATCCATCGTGCGTGTCAAGGGGAAGAGGTTAAAACCTGGGCTGTACACGACACATGAAGAATCTCCTGTGGTCATAAGGGGAGCTTTTCTCCTGAGAAATGAACCACGCCCAGGGTTCCTAGAAGCTCAAGGAGGTCCCTCCTCTGCTCAGATAGAAGACCCTGGTTCCCTCTGGGTCCCCTGTATGTTTAATTCCGTTCCAGTCCTTCTCTGTTTTCTGACCTGTTAGTCTCAGCCCCTTGCATCTGTCCCACACACACGTTCTCAGCTCCTACTTCTTAAAAAGCACCCTGAGAGGCAGGTGGCATGGTTCCCTAGCGGCAGCTTCTGTCCGTGGCTGTTCTGCGGGCCCCGGGGCAAGTCCCTGTGTCCAGTGTCAGAGTCCACGAAATGGGTCTGGCACCCAACTGATGCCCCACCTCGCGGGTGAGGGGTGCAATGTTGTCCCGGTAAAGACACATCCTGAGCCCTCAGGGAGCTCAGCTGAGAAAACCACTTAATCCAAGGCAGAAGGATTGCAGGTTTAGGGCACAGATGCAGAGCGTTTGGGGGGCCCAGAGCAGCGAGGGGCTTCCTAGCTTCAAATCCCAGCTGCTGTTCTCCCTACCAGTCGTGTGAATTTGGACAAACTCTAGGAGGCAGAGTGAGGCCCACCCACTTACCCCCAAGGCATTCACATCCTAATCCCTGGACCCTGTAAATGTGCTACCTCAAGGGACAGAGAGGAGGTAAGGTCACAGATGGAATTAACGTTGCTAATCGGCTGACCCGAAGATAGACTGTCCTGGCTTATCTGAATGGGCTCAGTGTCATCACAAAAGTCCTTAACAGTGGGAGAGAGAGGCAGAAGAGACAGAATGATGTGGTGGGAGAAAGCCACAGCCTGTCACTGCTGGCTTTGAAGATGGAGGAGGGGGACAGGAGATGAGAACTGTAGGCGGCCTCTAGAAGCTGGGGGAGGTGAGGAAGCAGATTCACCCTTAGAGCCTGCAGAGAACAACGCAGCCCTGCGTAAGGCGATAAAGCCACGTTGTTCTAAGCCACTAAGTTTCTGGTACTTTGCTACAGCCAAGACTGAAAATGAATACACCATCTAAATGCTGTAAACCTGTTTTCTCATCTCTAAAGTGGGAATAATAACCACATTTACCGTGTAGAGTAGGTGTGATGATTCAACAAGGTAGTGTATGGAAAAACCCTTGTGCAGAGCTAGGCTCCAAGACCCTCTGGAACTTCTCCCTAGACAAGCCCGCCCAGGCTCCCTCGGGAACAAGGGCGGGCCCTCCCCTGTAGCCCAGGGTACATGGGCATCTCTCCTTACCTCTTTTTGAGGATGCCAGATTCTCCCTGGGACCATTCGGTCCATTTTCCCGTGCCCTCCCCAGTTCTGATTTTGTTGCTCTCTGACAGAGCAATCTCTGACTCTGGGAGTTGTGGGCACGTGAGGGATTTAGGAGCCGCCACCCCCTTTCCACCCCCAAAATGTATCCTTGGCTAGAAGACCAGCTGGTGCACGTGCTATGCCGCGATGGCTCTACTTCCAGAGCAGGCCTTGGGAAAGTCATCTCTTTACCAAAAGGGATGGCCCTCGTGAAAAGCTGCTGGGTGCTTGGATTTTCATCCACGTATTCACAGAACCGTAAGCTTTCAATGCTGGATTCACAAAGATACACGGGGTGGGGGGAGGGCATCTCAGCTTTTCTTCTTGGAGAGAAGAGAGGAGACACCGCAGACAGCAGGTTTAACACCAACGTTTATTAAAGCAGACGGGGCGGCGGAGGGGGGGGGCAGTAGATGACCAAGCAGCTCCGCAGCGCCCGTCCCCCCCACCGACCCCTTGGTGAGCTTCACTCCTCAGTGCAAGACTTCCTTGAGTCATCAGGGTGGGCAGCTTGCCCCAACTGCCCGCTCATCAGCCCCAGGGAAGCTCCCCCTTCTGCCCACCCAATCAAACCTGTAGGAAGACCATGGGGGGGGGGGGGGGGGTGCCCGTTATACGTTAAGCTATTGGCTTTAGTGACTGACACAGGTTAGTAAAATGAAGCAGCGTGTATATATTTGCCATCAATCCCCAAAGCAACCTCTGCTGTGCCCACAGCTCACAAGGTCTGAATCCATCCATTTCCGCAACTGAAAAACAAACGAAAGAAGGAGCCTCGTCCTGTTTCAACAGTAGCCAGGTGGGTGCTTGTGAAAATGCTTGCTGGAAAAGAAGGGGAGAATAAACTGTGTGAGGATCCTGTGGATAAAAAGGAGAGGGGAGGAAGAGGAGGAGGAGGAGGGGGAAACAGCCGGCAAGCTGTCGTTTCCGAGCACTTCCCCCGTGTGTGCCAGGCCGCCACCGTTTGCCACGCGCTGACTTTTTTTTAATGCTCAGAACAACCACGTGAGGGAGGAGCCCTTATTACCCTCGTTTTGCAGATGAGGAGACAGAGAGAAATTGGACACTTTTTCCCGGGATCAGATTTCATGATCGGAGAGCTCCCTGACTCCGCATTCCAAGTTGGTGCGCCCCGCCCCTCCTGCCGCAGCTTCCTTGTTTCCCTGTAAGTGCGAGCCGCCTGCCACGAGGTCTCGCTGCAATCTGGGTTTTGCGGGAGCCGGAGGTCCACACCCGGGCGGGCTCAGCAGCAGGGCCCATCCCACCCAGGGGCAGAGGAGGGAGCTGCCGCGGGGCACGTTCGCCCACAAACCACTCTTCCCACAACAGTAACAGGTGCCACCCTTTCTGGAGGGATGTCAGTCCAGCTCCTACCCCTCAAGCAGATGTTCCCCTCACTGTTTGCTGACTGTCCCTCGGAGGGACTCCAGGGGAGTCCACAGGGAGGGTGCGGGGTGTGGTGTCGCCAGAAGACTGACATCCCAACCACTGCCCAGCATGAGTTAGGGGCGTAATCCTGCTCAGTTAGCGCCTCCATTACATGGGGTTAAACCGTAAGCCCTCAACCGGCACAGGGGTGCTAAGAGGACCAAAGAGGACAGTTTATGTGAGAGCACTCTGCAAATTACAAAGAGCGATACTCTAGAGGGAGTGTTCCTCGGTCGGCTCGCAGTAGCACCAAATCAACAACAATGAAGACAGAAGATTTCTCCCAACCACCGATGATAAACCACCCAGTTATATCCTGTCCTGCTCTGTCCGTAAAAATTACAGAGGAGCAACTACAGCCGCTAGGCTCACCCTCTGAAGGGATTTGCTACTTTATCTAATAGGATCTGGGAAGGAGGAGAGAGACCAGGAGGAAAGAAGCAAGCCGCCTCTCGAGGGAGCAGAGGTGCCAGGCGGACTGTGCAGGTGCTGACAGTCCAGTTCAGGGGCCTAAAAGAGCAAACCCAGGGCAAGGGGGAGGCGGAACGGATGGGCCAGGCAGACCCCCAGGCCGGAAGGCTAGGGGAAGGAAGGAAAGAAGTTGCTGGTCCTGGTGACGGTGGTGATGGTCGTAACGGATGTCACTGGTCAGGCCCAGGGTTGTTGACCCCACCTGCAAAGACACGAGTCTCCACAAGCCATACTTCTCCAGATTTGCATTCCAGTGTGACCTTTCTGGACAGCTAATAGGGTCACAGCCCTCCTTTGTTTGGGATCTCTTGGTGAGTCAGTAGGGGTCAGGCTCCCTGGTGTGTGCCCAGAGCCCCTCTCCACCTGGCTGCCGCCTCTCACCCCTGCCTGGCTCCTGCCATTTCCCCAGCCCACACCCGGCTAACCAGACGGCTCTCGAAATCCTCTGAGCCATGAGTGTGCCATCCCCCGCCGTCCCCCTAAACCAGAAGGCCTGGTGGGGGGAGGAACGTACCAGAGGCTGGTCCCGAGCCCCTCACACGGGATAGACCACGTTCCTGTCACAGTGGGGCTTGCAGTGAGGGTTCAGCCAGTGCTCCAGGAACTGCTCCTCGGCCCGGTGCTCCAGGCGGAGCAGATGATGCATGTACTCCTGTCAAAACAAACCCACACGGCAGAGCGGCTTTTCAGCAACAGCTGAGCTCGTGCGGCACGGCACGGCCGTGCTCCCGAGACAGGGCGACCAGGCTAAGGGAGGCTGGGAGGCCAGACCAGCGGGGAACCCGCCATGCCTACGCCTCTCCGCAGGGAAAAGCAGTCAGACGGGCCCAGCTGATGGGCAAAATAAAGAAATCTGACAACCTAAGGGCTGAAAGGGTGTGTGTCTATGGGAATTCACACACACTAATGGGGTGTAGCATGGAAATACCACTCTGAAAAACAATTAGTGGCCTGCAATCCGGAAATCTCGCTCCTCAATTATGCCCCTATGCAGTGGTCCTCAAACGCTGGCAGGCATCAAAAGCACCTGGGGGCCTTGTCAAAACACAGACTGCTGGGTGCTACCCCCGGAGTTTCTGATTCAGCGAGTCTGGGCTTGGGCTCCAGAACTTATTACATTTTGGGCAAGTTTCCAGCCAATGCCGGTGCTGCTGGTCACTCTGAGAACAAGAGAAACGTGTATCAGGAGTCGTGTAAGAATGTTCACAGAAGCAATAAACTTGTAGTGACAAAACACTAGCACTGTGCCAAACAGCCACAGACAGGGGGGTGGATACATAAACTGTGGTAGGGTCACCCCCCATGGAATATTATACAGCAGTGAACATGAATTAACTACAGCTACATCTGACGTAGTGACTCTTAGAAATAGCGTTGAGGGGCACCTGGGGTTAAGTGTCTGACTCTTGGCTTCAGCTCAGGTTATGATCTCACAGTTTTCGTGAGTTTGAGCCCCACATCAGGCTCTGCACTGAGCCTGCTTGGGATTCTCTGTCTCGTCTCTCTCTGACCCTGTCCCGCTCACGCTGTCTTCTGTCTCTCTCGAAATAAATAAATAAACTTTAAAAAAAAATAGCATGTTGAGTGAAAAAACAAATCCAAGAAGAACAACATTCACAGCGTAACATCATGCTTTAAAGTCTCAAAACATGCATCGCTAAATAAAATATTAGTTATGGCTTAAGCATTTAGATTAAAAGATCGTCTTTTTAAAAGGTTAGGGATTGGCATGAGTCGTGTTAAGGCCCATCAGCCAGGTCAATTATCTTCTACAGTCCTGAGGTTCGAAAGCCCTGCTGGCTCTGGCTGATGGCTCAGAGCCTCGGAGCCTTTTCCCATTCTCTCCAGGTCTCTCTCTCTCTGCCTCTCCCTCCCTACATGCTTGTCTCTCTGTCCCACAAAAAGATAAATGTCCGTTAAAAAAAAAAAAATTAAAAAAAAAATAAATAAAAATAAAATAAAATAAAATAGGGAGAAAACAAATAAATAAATAAATAAATAAATAAATAAATAAATAAAAGGCAAGGGATAACTATAAGAAAGCTGAAGTCGCTATACTAGTATCAAACAAAAGAGACTTTACAACCAAAAAAGGGGTCCTCAAAATGTTAAGCATAGTTTAACCTCAAAATGTCAAACACAGAGCGACCATGTGACCTGGTGATTGCACTCCTAGGTACATGCCCAACAGAAATACTAACTGTGCACATGGTGTTCAGAGCGGCATCACTCATCATAGCCACAAAGTGAAAACAGCCCAAATATCCATCAACTGATGAACGGATAAACGAAATGTGGTACCTCCATACGATGGAATATCATTTGGCCATAAAAAGGAATAAGGTACTGACACGTGCCTCGACAGGGATGGACCTTGGAAACACGATGCTAAGCGAAAGAAGCCGGTCACAAAGAACCACATACTGTGTGATCCCATTTCCATGAAATGCAGCCAGCCCTGCACGTGGACGTGTTCACAGCGGAGAGCAGCTCACCGTCTGGCGTGTCCATCGCTGGAACCATCTACTCAGGAACGCAAGCCAGAATGCGGACCCTCCTCGTCTCCCTCACCCCTAAACTCGTGTGACGCTGGGCATGAGGACTTCAAGTCAACTCCTGATGGTCCCAGATGCTCCCCCTTCTTTGCCGCCATGTCTGTGGGTCGGGTCCTCAGTGCCACCCACCCAGGCTATGACAGCCTCCTCACCCCCTCCACTCCTCACCCTGCCCCTCCTCCCTCCACCCCACGTCTCACCTGCCCCCACCATCTCTGCTCCAGCCTGACAGTGACTGGCCCAAAGTGCTGCCCAAAGGGGCCACGGCTGTCCTCAGGCCTTCACCGGCACCACCCACCGGGAAGGAGGAGCAGGTGAGCTGGGCTGCAGCTCTGAGTAGCATCACTGTAGCCGGCAGGTGAGGGCAGCTCCCTGTACATACATTTTGGTATGTGTCGATATCATAAAAATCCCAAATCCTGAACACCCTCCTATGGTGTCGATAAAGCTTTAAGAGATGATCCAGTTTAGAACTTTAAGTTTTTCAGTCCATTTCCCCACGCTTCACGACAGAGAGAGGCCCTGTCTCCTGCCCGGCTCCACGGCTGTCACCACAGCCGTGTTGATCTCTGAGCTTCTCTAGAATCACTTTCTCCCTCACACGGTTCACCTCAAGGGACTTTGCCGAAGGGGCCATGTGGACAGGGTTAAGGGAACCACCAAAGAACCTTCCAGCACCCAAGGACTAGCAATAGAGGGAAGCCATGGACGTGCCTAGACCTGCAGGGTCGTGGAGGGGCGCAACCTCTGCAGGGCAGGGAGGGAGCGGGGAACAAATGCCCCATCGTCTCTCTCCTCTTGCCCCCCATCTCCTGCCTCGCCCAAGCAGAAGCCAGCCTGCCAGGGAAGCTGGCAGTGTGGTCCACGGGGGCCAGCCACCTGAGCTGGGCAGAGCAGGTGCAGGCTGGATGGTGGACGGGGTGGAGGAAGCCAGCAGCCGCGCCAGGATGATGGGCAAAAGGGGCACGCTGTTGCCGGAAGAAGGGAGCAGAGAACACAAATAACAGATGCTTCTGAGGTCTAGGGCAGAGAAGCTGAGCACCCGGACCCGGCCTCGGGAGGACCACTGTTTGCTCTGCGTGCAGTGGCTCTCTCCCCGCCCTCCTCCCTGTTTGCTCAAGCTCGGTTTTCATACACCTGCGGGGCACGTCCAGGGTCAGGGTGGTCTTCTCTTCCCAACACAACTCGGTCCTCAACAGAACCAGCTCAGGCTGTGGGCTATCCCACATTGTTTCTCGTCGTATTACCTCGTGTAATTGATACACAAAACAGAAAAATGATAAATCAGCAGGTTGCTTCTTAAGAGGGAAAGTGTTACTTCTCCTCCCTCGGTGACAAAAGTCTCTTCCTTCCCTGCATACCTCATCTCTCCACCTCCTGGTGCGAACAGAGAAGTGGTGCTGAACACCACCCAGACTACCCAGAAAAAGTGATTTCAAAAAAAAAAAAAATCTACCCATGTTGCTTCCTTGCTTAAAATACTTGAATGGCTCCCACGGGGCTCAGGAGAAAATTCTAATCACTTAATGTGGTTTGTGGGGCTCCCTGTGATCTGGCCTTGCCTATCTTCTGACCTCCCCTCACCATCAACCCCCTGCCCCCCGAGCTTTCCCTGGATGGGCCACACTGGCCCTGCTCTCTCCGCCTACACTATTCTCTCTGCCTAGAATACCCACGTGCCTTCTCTTTCTCCCATCACACTTCTACCCGACTTCGCAGGCATCAGCTTAGATGTTACTTCCTCCAGGAAGCCTTCTCAGGTTCCCTGTGACCCCAGCGCTCCCTGGATGTCCCCCAGCACAGCCCTGGTCACTCTGGTGGGCAGTGACCTCTGTCCCCGAGAGTAAGGACTTAATTGGCCCACATCACATTTTTTAGTGGAGGTGCCATGCGGGCGGGCTCACATGTGGACACACGAACTTGATGTTTTCTCCTCAAAAGAGAGTAGGTGGAGATTGGGAATGACTTTTAACTTGGAGGATGTATGCCGTTGACATTGCCCTGAATGAAGCCCGGGTGCTGTAATGATGGGATGTGAACCATCACAACGTATGAAACGGATCCACATAAACAATTTATAATCCAAAAGCAGGCAAATAATCAGAGAAGTGGCATCTCACCCCGGGAGGGAGTAGTCATATTCAGTAATATCCGTACAAGATTAAACTATTTTGGTATGTATCGATATCATAAAAATCCCAAATCCTGAACACCCTCCTATGGTGTCAATAAAGCTTTAAGAGATGATCCAGTTTAGAACTTTAAGTTTTTCAGTCTCTATGAAATCCTCTACGAAGTCTGCATCCTGTATTAAACATAGCTCTAAAATTTTTTTTTAAGTTTTTAAACATTTATTCATTTTTGAAGGAGAGAGAGGCAGAGCATGAGCAGGGGAGGGGCAGAGAGACAGGGAGACACAGGATCCAAAGCCATCTCCAGGCTCTGAGCTGTCAGTGCAGGCCCGACGTGGGGCTCGAACTCACAGACCGTGAGATCATGACCTGAGCTGAAGTCGGATGTTTAACCGACTAAGTCAGCCAGGTGCCCCTAAAAATAAAAATAATGACTGTGCAAAGGCATGAATTATAAAGTGCCTAATTTTCCTGAATTTTCTTTCCCACAGGAACCATGCAGCTTGAATTTGTTTGATCAAGTTCTCATCTGACTCGTCCCAGGCAGGGGGTCTGTGGGGCGGCCAGAGAGGGGGCGGATGGTGAGAGGCTCCGGCAGGACCCCACTGTGTGTACGGTGAATCCCCAGCAGCAGGACCCGTCTGTGAGTTGGGGCTGAATCCTGTGTTTGGGGCAGTTTGGGGCGTGTGCTCCAAAGATTGCCTGGAATAAATGAGGACACAGCCCAAGGTCCTTTCCAGCCCTGACATGCTGTCATTCTTTGATTTTATTATATGTTCATGTTTTCTGTTTATTGCTTTAAGAACTAACCCTACTCAAGAATATTTTCTTTAGGGGCGCCTGGGTGGCGCAGTCGGTTAAGCGTCCGACTTCATCCAGGTCACGATCTCGCGGTCCGTGGGTTCGCGCCCCGCGTCGGGCTCTGGGCTGATGGCTCAGAGCCTGGAGCCTGTTTCCGATTCTGT